TACTTCACGGAAACGGAGTTCGTATTCGTATAAGCTCACGGGGGGGGGGGGGGGTTATTTTGCAGAACGGCCGCATGGTTTGATACCAACGGTTTATCATCAGAAGGTAAGGCCTAGAGCATGGATAATCTCCACGTGGCGCCCCGTGGTAGTGAAGGTCTCTTCTCGGTTGAGCTGTCGCTGTTCGATTCTGCTAAGGCGTTTACCTTCACAACACCGTGCCTTAGTGTATTCTCAACATATCCGATAAAGACTCGCGTAGGAAAATGCCTGTCAATATGTTAGGCCTTCCGTTCGTGCCCGTGAGCCCATTTAGGAGCCTCTGTCATCAGCTATTTTTTGACGTGCTGGTGCGTATATATGTATGTACGGATGTGTGTGTGTGTGTGTGTGTGTTTGTTTGTTTGTTTGTTTGTTTGTTTGTTCGTTTGTTTGTTTGCTCGTTTGTTCGTGCATTGGTTTCTTTGTTTCTTCTATTTTGTTGGTGGGTCGGTTCGTGGGTGACCTAGATGAGGGAAGTAAGAAGAATGAGAAAGGTTTATCATTTCACTGGCACCAATAAATCCAATTTGTTTGTGGATGGCTTTAAAAATTAGGGTTGAGAATGAGCTCGCTTTCCAACAGTATAAATCATGTAACACGCCCTGGTAGGCATGGGATTGCGTCATGCTGCTGTTCATTGGTGTTGCTCCTTCTACCCACAGAGCATCCAACGACGATTCCCGCAAAGAGGGAGCAGAACAAGCATTCCATTAGATGCGTATGTGCATCTACTGGCATGGCTGCTGGTATTCAATGTGTCTCCATGGGCGCCACCTCCGCGGGGTATGATTTATGGACACGTTTATCTGCGAGCGTCTCCCCGGCAAACAGATAGTGAGTCCAGGATATGAAGACCCTCCACAGGGGCATACCGTGGCGGAACATTTGGTCGACAACAGTACTGGTTGCTCGGGGTACATGCCTGCTTCAACGGTGCTGTAAGGCTGTTTAAGTGCCTAAAATGACACAAGACTACAGAGAGTGTACTTGCATTATACAATTGAATTGGGGTGTCGGTAATTTCAATACCGTGCATGCATTCAGTACAATACCGTGCATGATTTGAATCCGGCTAAAAGGCAACAAGGAAATTTGGAAGTGATTTATACAATACCAGAAGGTAATCGCGACTTCCTACATGATACAGTCGGTGTGTCGGTAGCAGGTAGTGTTTCGCCGTTAGCGTTGTAGCACCACAGTAGCATTTACGCAGCGTGCATTTAGGCACATGCAGTGTTTCAAGACTGCTCACGTAGGCAATCGTGCATGAATTCGTTTTGCCACGTAATGTGTGGAATTGCTCATTTACGAACACACTCCATATTCGCCTTGCCTGCCGCGAAAGGCCACTAGCAAAATCTGGATCGCTTTGCGACCCAACCAGCCGTTAAGCCGTCCAACAGAGAACGAGTGGCAACACTCCTGCAGCTGTACGCTGGCTGCATCAAAGCTCATGGCGAAGGGCCTCCTCTCGGTATAAGTGACTCTGATCAACTGAATGGGTGATAACAGCAAGAGGAGAAACCACAAAAAGCGAGTGAGCCGCACTTCACACATGGTATATTGCGGGGACCGGTGGCCG